CAATCCCTCCTATGGTCTCTCGAGTCTCATCATTTATACTAGAAAAGTCTGGTTTTACTGTCAAGAGTAGTATAGTTGGGTATAGGCTTATCACGTCCTTAATATGCATTACCAAGTCACATGAAATTTTTCCACTGATTATCCTCAAAGAATCACACAATCTTTTTAGGTTGTTGGTTAAGGGTTGTAACCCTCAACCTCCTACCTTATTCAACCACTAACTAAGGACTTTGAGGAGACTCAACACACCCAAAAACCTACTCCTAGAGACATACCTACTTAAGGAGGCTTTTCCAAATAATGGCCTACTCAAGCACTACTCCAAGATATCCTATGTAAGATCTTCAATTTTCAAACTAATTTTCTCTCCTCAAATCCTAAGTTAGTCATCATGTTTTAATGTCACATCACATTCTCAACATCTACACCTCACCATACATCTACTATATACATCACATCCAGTCGATACATATAGAGATCAATAACATCAATCGTATATAACATACTAATACTTAACACCTAAACTAATAATAACATACCAATGCTTAACAATTCATACAAACATAGCATTTCAATCATATAGAGCATATCAATGCTCATCACCATTTCAACTACACAAAGATAACATTCCAATGCTTATTATCATTTCAACTACACAAAGATAACATTCTAATATTTATTATCATCATCCTACATCAGGCAACATGCAATAAACACAAGTATTTTATTCATGTTCACCAAATTCACCATCATACAAAATGTATCAATATATATACAACTTATCAAAATCACTTATCCTACATTGACAACCTTCACATAAATGACACATGGGAAATTTTACTACTTCTATCACACTCATCCTTATCTCATATGAAAGAGAAGAAGATTTTATACAACTTTCATGAAGAACTCAGGTTCTAGTTTCATCATCTACCATGTAAAAATTTGTAAAAATTGTAATAATTTGCTTAAATGTTAACAATTTGACCTTTACTCACTAAAAAGGTCATAATTGAAGTTTTAGACTTTTTTTAATGTGATTCTAATGTTATTGGAAAGTAAACATTCAAGGTTACAACTTTCATGAAGACCTTAAGACTAAATTTGGTCATTTATCCCCATCGTTGTAGCACTCATTCAATGCTCCAGTGCTAACTCTCGGCTAGCCTAGCTTTTTCCACCGCTGCAGTGCCCAACCACAACTGCAGCGCCCAACCATGCTACAATGCTAAGTCTCGACCATTATAGTTTTCCAACAATTGTAGCGTTGTTTGCAACATTGAGTCTCGACCATCCCATTTTCTTCCACGATTGCAACGTTGAGCCCCGACTGCAGCGTTGAGTACAAATTTTTTTGCATTTTCATGGCTTCCACCTTCGTTCCTCACCTACCCTTCACCAATAGTATCTTGTACCTGAACCGGTGGCTCACTTTTTCTAAGTAATGGGAAAGAGGACCGAAACATGCCACTGAAAGACTCTACTGAGACAAAGATGGGCTGTCAAGAACGTAGAGGAGGTAGGATGGGCAGTTGGTCAGATCTAGTATGGATCGTACATGGACGGTAGTTGGAGTCGGTGGCTCTCCTAGGGTTTCCTCATTTGGGATCCTGGGGGAAGAGGATCAAGCTGGCCCTTGCAAACAACTCCGGTTTGTTGTGAGGTTAAAAAATCACTCCTAGCACTTTTTTTACATAATAAATATACACGTGTTGTAATGTAAATTTACGGTTAGATTACTTTTTACATATATTCAAATTACGTTTCATGGGACAAAATGAGTTATCACTTAACAACTCCTAATGTAAAGTTTTCAATTTTTATAAATTAAGTTCGAAATTCATTTCACACTTAATGAAATTTCTTATTATATTTAGAATATTATTTTAATTGAAAGAATCTGATTTTGTTGGTGTAAAAAAAAATAGCATAATTTTTCTTATTTATATTACATAAAAAAAAGTTTACATGGATTTTCGTTACCATTTCCTATACATGATTCTTTACGAGAATTTTGTAAAATAAATTAGCATAATTATATTATTATTTCTATTTTAAAATTACTCATAATTAATATTTTATTATGTTATTATAGTTTAAATTTTTTATAATTAATATTCTTTTAGTAAATCTCTTAGAGAAACAATATTAAGATTTATCAAAAGGAATTATATAAAACAAGAAAAATTAATACATGGAGCATTTATGGTGAAGTTGTTTGCAAGTAAGATAAGATAAGATGAATAAATCGTGAAAATGTGAAAAAAGAAAGTCAAAATTAAAATCAATTATTTAAATATGGTAAACAACGTTATCTTGTTATTTGGTCCGAACTTGTATTTTTTGTAACATGAATTTGACACTTTCTGTAACCATAAAATGTTATTTTGGTGGACATATATCCCTTGACATAAAAGTTGAACTTATTTTAGTGAATTTTTGTTGATTCTTAGTTTCCAAGTAAATTCTTAAGTCAAATTGATCACCAGTTTTGACTAACTATTAAGTAGACAATATTGTTTATTATGTGAATTTTTAACGTACCATTAACTCTCTACTTGATAATTATAGGAGTGTCATTTTCTATTTACCATTTTGTGAAACAATTTTTTTTTTAATTTCTACAAATTAGGACCTATGATCAAATCCGACATTCCTTATATTTTATATTTTTCTATACATACTTATGTTAAAATTGAAATGAATTTTTTATAATAATTTTTTTAAAAGGGTTAATGATTGACTTTATTTTTGCATGAAGCTGTATACTAATATAAATTTATTAGTTTTTAAAAAGAATCTGCAAAGGAATCGCATGAAAAAAATAAAATCTGAAGAAATATTTTTCTACCTATGGTTTTTGTCGATTTATAGTTAAAGTGAAAATTTCTCCCATTTTCAAACATCCTAAACGAATGAATATGCGAACAAAAGGAGAAAAAAATAAAAAGTAAATCAATTTTTTGAAGGAAGATTTAATTTTTAAAAAATTATTTTATTTTCCGAAAACCACATTTAATCTCACAAACTAGATGCCCACTTTCTTTATAGGTATAGAGAAATGTTATATCCTCAACTCAAGCAATGTATATAAGAGTGAATCACCAACATATTATCATACTTAAATTTATAAGAGCGATACTTGTTGGACACATAAACTGTCCAAACATCTAATTATCATTCTTTATTTTTAATTTTATCTCTTTCTTTCGATCATAAAATTAAAAGTTGGTAAACATGGACTCCAAGTGCGGAAGAACGTTGTTTGCTATGACAACGATTTTACTAATCCAAATATTCCCCCTTACAAGTAAGTTGCACACAATTTTATGTCTATGATGATTTCGTTTACTACGATGCCTTTTTATTTATTTATTTATTTTATTTTATAAAACTAATTGTTTTATTAATCCAAGAAATCAAGTTTAGATCATAAGATGTGACTAAATTAGACACAACTTTATTCCCTCCGGTTTGTTTTGAGGTTAAAAAATCATTCCTAGCACTTTTTTTATATAATAAAAATACACGTGTTGTAATGTAAATTTACGGTTAGATTACTTTTTACATATATTCAAATTACGTTTCATGGGACAAAATGAGTTATCACTTAACAACTCCTACGACCTTCAACAAATGGGTACCTGTACCCGAAACCGACACATGTGGGTAGGTAGAGAATACTTAGGGGCGCGAGACAACTCTCTCTAAGGAACTCGGCAAAATAGCCCCGTAACTTCGGGAGAAGGGGTGCCTCCTCACAAAGGGGGTCGCAGTGACCAGGCCCGGGCGACTGTTTACCAAAAACACAGGTCTCCGCAAAGTCGTAAGACCATGTATGGGGGCTGACGCCTGCCCAGTGCTGGAAGGTCAAGGAAGTTGGTGACCTGATGACAGGGGAGCCGACGACCGAAGCCCCGGTGAACGGCGACCGTAACTATAACGATCCTAAGGTAGCGAAATTCCTTGTCGGGTAAGGTCCGACCCGCACGAAAGGCGTAACGATCTGGGCACTGTCTCGGAGAGAGACTCGGTGAAATAGACATGTCTGTGAAGATGCGGACTACCTGCACCTGGACAGAAAGACCCTATGAAGCTTCACTGTTTCCTGGGATTGGCTTTGGGCTTTTCCTGCGCAGCATCTACACTCATTATCTCTACTAGATTCTTTCATGCAACCCAACAACCTTAATAAAGACAAATGCAAGCACCAAAACTAAAAAATCATTAACATTTTTAACCTCTCACCAAGAACATCAGAAACCCCAATTTTCAACATGCAATCCCTTTTAATCCACCCCCACAACTATTTAAAAAATTTCACCAATAATAAACTTTTAATTCATTCAATAGTTTAATGTTTCAACCAAAGTCCAAGATTCCAATTTCTCTTACCTTGGAACGGGGTGAAATCGAAGAACTCCGAGGTAGAAGAAGAATAATTAGCTCCACAATGAATTCAATGGTTTGATTTGAGATTTTCACTACCTGAATCACAATAACACCACTTAGAAGAGAATTGAGAAAAAGAAGAGAAAAAAAATTGAAAAAAATTGAAAAAAAAGTGCTTAGGACTAGAGACCTTATCTCTAGATCCTCTCTCTAAAAAGCTGAGAGAAAAAGTTTATAAGATTTTATTCAAACATAAATCTTATATATTTTTTCCTTTAGGGTCAAACTGCCCACAAAACCTTCTTAAGTTAGATATCATAATATTAGTGTCTTTATTAGTAAAAATATCACACTAATAACATATATTATTAGTAATTCAAAAAATTAAAACAAGAGTTTTTAAAATTATAAAGATTAAAAATAATTTTAAATTTAAAATAATAAAAATAAATTTATTCGATAAATTAAAAATATATTTAAGTGTGTTTTAAATTTTTTTCCTTTATATCCTCTTGCAGGTCAGTGAAATATAATATCATATTGCATATAATTATTTTTTTAAAAAAGAAAAGTTAAAAAAAAGAAATCGCGTATAAAGTTAAGAGTGTTGTTTGGTAAGGTGTGACACAGAAGGGAAGATGGACTTAATGGAGTTATGGGCAATTTTCGGCCCCGGCGTCGCTGGCGCTGTCTTCGGCGCCGGATGGTGGATCTGGCTTGACGCCGTTGTCTGCAGCTCCGTTACCGTTCCCTTCCTTCACTACCTTCCTGGTCAGTGCTCAATTTCTCTTCTCTCTTTCAATTTTAGGGTTTCTTTTAACCGATTGTGCTTTTCATTAAAGGAATTTTCGCATCTTTTGCCGCTTTGATGTTCAATTGCGTTAGAAAAGAAGACATCGATTATTCGCCCTATGACGAAGGCGAGTGGAGGTACATAATTATTTGCCTATTCCATTCTCTAGCTTTAATCGTTCGATTTTGGAAACTCTTAAGCGCTTCCAAAACTAATAAACCACCACTAGGGTTTCCTTCCTTGGTGAAGAAATTAAAGATTGCGATTCATAATGTATTGGTTTTCTTTAGGTTGGACATGGTCGTGGAGTGTGAATAGTGACTGTACGAGTGTTTCGAATTAGGTTTACTTTACACGAGCCATGAACTTATTAGAAGTTAGAAGCAAGGGAATGTGTTCCTACGGTAGATGCTTGGTTTTCTCACATGACATATTGCATATCTGTTTCAATGCACAATATCTTTGGCAGTGGATTTATGTTTCCGTGACCAACACACTGGTTGAGGTCTCAAGTAATGTTTGGAACAACATTGTAGGGAATTTGATGTTCATGTAATGTATGTCTGGAGTGTGTTTTTGCATGTATGTGTCCAAACTTTTGAGTTTCAAAGAACAATTGATTAGGGAGTATGCTTGGTCTGTGAATGTTACTTATCTGGTTCTTTTTTGTGTTTTTATTTTCTCTTTTCATTGCTTCGAAGGTGTTATTTTTCTTTTAACATACTGACCACTAATTAAATGCTTTAAGTGGCAATGGATGTCTGTCCTTGCTATCCATCCTCCAAACTGATATCAATAAGAATAGAAAAAAATGTAATCTTATGCTACCTTGGACACACCCAATTTGAAAGGTCTGTGTTGCATTGTGAGGAGATATATGGTAATCATGTTACTAGCTTAGCCTGTGCAAGCAGATAACTGACAACAACAATTGTAACAAATGCCTTTTTTCACTAGGAAGCGGATAAAAAGACATGTTATGAAAAAATTATGTGCCTCAGGCGTCACTACTTTATCTGACAGAGGAAAGTGAACATGCAAGAGGGAAAGTGAAGTAGGTCTAGGCCATTGCTGCATGTTGAACCTTGCATCAAGTTAACTAGACAAAGTAATTTGTGATAGTTGTATTTTATTTTATTTTTTTAATTCCCATTAGCTTAAGGTAGAAAAGTGATAAGAGTCACTTCCTCTCTATTGCTTTGTGAATTTATTTTAACCACTTCCTTTTGTTGACAGATTGAAGCTGTGGCTCTTCATTGCATATGTTGTATCCTTCGTTTCTTTAGCTGGATCAGCGGGTTTACTGATCCAAGACTCACTTGATAAATCTGCCCCTTCAGTTTGGGCTGGAGTTGCAGGTGTTTTGCAGTGTGTTTTTGTCTTGATCAGGTAAGTGCTGGTTGACCATTTAATGATTCATCTATGTCCTCTTCAGCTCTCATGTTTCTCTCGAAAGCCTTTGCAATCACATAAAATTATTTATTACTGTTTTTGTTGCCTCCAGTTGTGAAGCAAAATTGCCTCGTATTTTTTAATTGAAGAAATTATGTGTTTGTAACCTTAAAAAACAGAAAAATACGAACAAATGTTCTTGGAAGTGGATATTTAGAAAGCTCTTTCAAAATGACTTTCAAACAGCTAGCATTTCAGATTTAATCAGAAATCTGCACCTAAATTTTATTTCAATTGTCTATTTAGCATGAACCATTATGATAAGAATTTTTAATGTTCTGACTGCAAATAAAATTTTCCTAAAGCAGCTCGAAAATGCAACTAAATATACATCCTTCCGAGGTCTTTCTCTGAAATTGAAATTTGAAAGTGTGATTGTGTCTCCCTTCCAATTCCATACCTTAAAGCTTGAAAAGGATCAATACATGTCTATTTCAAATTTCAGTCTTGAAAATGGTTTAGATTCTTTGTAGCACAAGTGACCCCAATTTCTTTTTCTTTTTCATTACTTGTATTCTAATTCGATTTTGTTCCATACAGTGGACTGATATATTGGACTTCTCATCCTGAATAAGGTGCACCAAGATATGACTTGGTTGGAGCCTCAAATTCTACCAGGTTATGTCCACCCATGTATTATCTTGTTTTTTTTTTTTTTTTTTTTTTTTTTTTTTTTTTTTTTTTTTTTTTTTTTTTTTTTTTTTTTTTTTTTTTTTTTTTTTTTTTTTTTTTTCTGACGGGAAATAGCCAGCTTCGTGTAAATCCGTAAATGTAAATTGTGCTAACAATCTCGACGCTTGAGCCTCTGGGTATATTCATATTTCTTGTTTCATATAGTTGATCAAGATCTGTTACACAAGATAAATTCAGTCGCTTGGTGTTATCTATAAAGCCCCCCCTTGTTTCTTAATATTTTGAATACAAGAAAGGAATCTCTTTATGGTTATAACTGAGAATAATTCTGTTGACTACATCCAGGTTGGACTAGAAAATGTGGAGGGTTCAGATCGGTTGTGTATAAATGTTTGTGTAAATAGCATTATTCACTGTGAACACCAAAGGTGTAAGTTGGCAATGATTCCTAAACTCAATTTTTGCATCCCCTCGTTTAATATCTTAAACAGCTTTGAAAAAATACTTTAAAGGGCCAAAGCCCGAGCTGGAAAAATATATTAAAATTCTAGTTAAACAAGGGTGTGGAAGCCCCCTGCATACTCTGCTTGAATCAATAGTCCAAGATAAGCTGGCGGAAAGGTGTGATGTTAATGGAATAATGGCCATTTTTCGATGTAGAAAACTGACATTGAACCAGGCATTATGCTAACTTATACGACATTTCCGTTACATTTTGATAGCCAGTGTTATGACGGAGTTCACTAGAGGGGCTTCTGCATCTGCGAAGATTAGGTGGTGGGGTGGACACTGATAATCAGTATTTTGTGGAGCTCATGCTAACTCATGTTCTACTTGATGAACTATGTCTTGCCATGGCCCATTTCTATAAATTTAGTCTAAACATTCCTTCTTGACCATAGAATTGGATGCACGAAAGCTCTATGGATGAGCTACCCTTGTGCGTTAGCAGAGGATATTACATTCCTCAAGAACGTTTCATATTGAATCACACCTGCAGAAGTGCAAACTCACCCAGCTGTAGTTATTTCTTGATTCACTATAGTTGGAATTCAAACTATGGGGTTTGTGTGGAAAGGAATAGTGAAAATTATATGTATTTAAATTAGCGCAAATATATTTTTATGAATACGTATGAATTTAATTTAATGTAATAAAGTATTTAATAATTTTTAAATTTTATAAAAATTTGTAAACTTGATTTATTTATTAAAAAAATTTATGTTAACAATTGAATTGTTGAAATTTAGTATATATATATATATATATCAATGTTTATATTATTTTAATATGCACTGGAATATTTTTAAAATATTTTATAAACTTTTTTTTTGTTAAATCTTAATTTTGGAGCAAAATTTTGTCATACTATATATAAAAATCCATTTATCTGAATATTTGTATAAATATTAGCATTAAATGTTATTTTAATATATTTTCAAGTCTAATTTACTTATATTTATAATTTATCAATTTCTATACATTAATTTATATA